TATATAAAATCACAATGCAAATAAATAGTAAATATGAATAAATACACAAAATATCCCTATATATAAAAGTATATTCACATACTTATTCCGGATAGTCAGGTCTGCTCCAAGTGTTCTGAGTTCATTCACCATGGTGTTCTGCTTCGCTCGTACAGCCACGTGTGCACATGTGCTTCCGTCTGATGGTCTCTGTGCGTTCAAATCCAGCCCACACTTTACCAACAACCTCAGCACATCCAGTCTATCCTTAGTCACACACATATGAGTTATACCATTCTCGTGTCTGCCACTTGTGTACCTATACTCGTTCAGCCTATTAATCCCGTACTTGTGTACAATCTGATGTATGCGGTCCTCCTGTACTGCATTAGAGGTGGTCACTAGTACATTGCGTTGTAGTATACTTTGTATGTCTTCATTCAGGTCTTCTTGTGTGGGGGTGTGTGATGTTTCTTCTATCTCGCCTTCTTCTCCGCTGTCTCCTTCTGCGGTTCCCATGACTATGTTATCCATAATGTGTGAAATCTTAGTAGACGTAATAACCACCGGAATATAATGAATATATGTCAAAAGATACAGGTATAGGAAGGTATGTATAAATCTATAAATATGTCCGCCAATTTGTATACATATGTGGTCTATGCAAGTGTATCTGTGTGTGTACGAATACACGCAACCTTATGTGTGTGAGTGAAAATACGTTGTAACTGAACACCCTATACTGTGCAGCACAGTCATATACTAAATGGTTAGGGACTTTCATGTCAAATGACCTCTATATTTATAATAAAAACCATTCCACACAACGTGTGAAATAATGACCTGAAATAGAGACATCACTGTAAATAAGCCACCCTTATTTAGACAGGCGAGTTTTCGCGGGCCCAGACTGACATCCAATCTTCAGGTTCTCCACTATCCACTGTATCCAGTATCCAATCACACACCACTGTGTGGCACTGTCTCCATAGCTCACTGCCCGGTCTCCATAGTACACTCTCCATAGTACACCCTCCATGGTACACTCTCCATAGTACACTCTCTATAGTACACTCTCCATGGTACACTCTCCATAGTACACTCTCTATAGTAGACTTTCCATAGTACACTCTCCATAGGACACTATCCAAGTCCACTATCATCAATCCAGTAAATAGCCTACACTCCCCAGAGTTACTACTCTTTTCACTGTTTCCATATTCCAAAAAAAAAACAGTTGATTTTACTGAAATCCAAACGTTCATTTATATCAGATTTGCTTAAATTTTTACCCCGACGGTCGTTAGGCAGCTATTGTGTTATGTGATTTTATGTTCGCGACGAACATGGACCATGTCCATAGAGACGGAAGAAATGACACCAACAAGGAAACTAGACGCACAGGGTTACAGGTCTTACCGAGTGTGTTGATCACAATTCAAACCACCCTGAGTTAATAATGTCCGAAGGTAAATTGAACCTTCACAAAGTAGTTATTGCATGTGTACACATATGATTCACACATACACGTATTGTTGTATTAAGTATTTCGGCGTTTGGAATTGTATAAAAATATGCATGTTCGCGTATATTTAAATATAAAACTACTCGAATACTTGCCTAGCAGAGCCGAAGTTTGCATTTATGAACACATGAATATGTAGATTCTCTCCATCGCGTATCCTGCTAAAGCTCACCAAACATAACTTTGACGAGCGAGAGTATGAAAGGAATAAAGTAAGGTGTATTTTTGTTTAATTTTTAAAAGGCTATTATTGTTATATTTCTTTGTAATTATCTGACAGAGCCACGTATGTTATGTACAAATTCAATTGTTATACCTCAGAAGATGCTGATATTTACATCATAT